TTTTTTTATACATAACAATATGATTGTCCCATAGGCGATGACCTGAGCTCATTTCCAGCATGTGGTGACTTATATTTGAGAGGTCTGATCACATTGGACCTTAATTTGGTACTTTGGACAAGTACACACTGTAGTCGCTTATGTGTGGTGTTCACACAGGAAGTTTTAACAATGATATAATGTTTACTTGTGTGGAGATGCAGTGACCGTGCGGTTAGTGTGCTCATGTCCAGTTGAGCAGTCTCGGTTAGAGCCCTGGCCAGGGACATTGTGTTCCATTCTTGGGCAAGACACTTCACTCTCACAGAGTTTCTCTCAACCCAGGTGTATAAATTGGTACCGGTGAATTTAATGCTAGGGGTAACTCTGCAATGGACTAGCATCCCATCCAAGGGGAGGGGTAGAAATACTCTTAGCCACTTCATGCTCCAGGAACCAGAGATAAGTGCCGGCCTGATGGGCCACTTGGCTAGTATGCAGACTTTACTTTTTTATATTTACTTAATACCATGAAAATACTTACACGTAGTCNTTGTTTAGAGATGCAGTGACCGTGTGGTTAGTGTGCTCATGTCCAGATTGAGCAGTCCAGGTTGGAGCCCTGGCCAGGGACATTGTGTTTCATTCTTAGGCAAGACACTTCACTCTCACAGAGGTTCTCTCAACCCAGGTGTATAAATGGGTACTGGTGAATTTAATGCTAGGGGTAACCCTGCAATGGACTAGCATCCCATCCAAGGGGAGGGGTAGAAATACTCTTAGCCACTTCATGCTACAGAAACCAGAGATAAGTGCCGGCCTGATGGGCCACTTGGCTAGTATGCAGACTTTACTTTTTTATATTTACTTAGTACCATGAGAATACTTACACGTAGTCCCCACTGCCACGCCCCCAACAATTTGGCAACTTCAGTTCCGACTATATAACCAAGCCCACTGAGAAAAATAAATGAAAACAGTTCACAAAAAACTCACCATTGCTTCATGTAACTACATCACTACAAACACACCATAATCACTATGATAATTATATTATAATTTAACTAATGTACAGTTGAACTGTACTTCAAACTCTTAAGGGAAATGAAAACAAGACCAAAATAGTGGGAGTTTGAAATAGCGGATAGTAGATGACTGAATGGCAAATCCAAAGGAAATGGTTTGGAGTTTGAAATATCAGGGAATTCAAAATACTCACCAAGTTCAAATTACCAGAGTACAACTAGGTATTATAATAATATCAGTTGGATAATATTATGAATCATGACCAGATTTAGGAATTCCTCCTTACTATATGTATCTTACAAGTAAGCTTTATTAATTTGACCTAACAGTGCATGTAGGTCTATTTTGTATGGGTATTAGGTAACTTAACTTCACTGACTCTTGATGTTTTCTGGAATTACTTCCATCATGCAATCATTTTTTGCATGATTTCAACCGTGTGAACAATCTTGTAACAAACCTACATGTATCTGCAAAGCCAAGCGACTCTTAGTTTTTTAATGTTTACATGTTTTAGTACCTCAGTGTCTATACAATTATTTTATAAGGAACTATAATGTACATAACTACAACACTCATAGGAGAAGTGACCTTTATCTACCAAAGCCAAAACTTAGCCTTGGTAGGCATGCTTTTAGATTTTCTGGGTCAGTGCTTTTTAACTCTCTACCAACAAAAATCAAAGACCAGAGTCGCTTTCTTCCTTCAAGCTTTTTATTAAATCTCACCCTTTTTCAGCATTTTTAGCATATATACAAATGTACGTTTTCTTTCCTAGCTTCTTAAATGCGATGTTTCAACTATGTATATCTGAAAATTTTTTATTATTGTAATATTAATTTATCCCCCAGGGCCCCTCTGGATACCAGCCATAATGCTAAATGGACCACCCTGGCTACATAAAGTTTTACTACTACTACTACTACTACTACTACTACTACTACAATCAGAAAAAAAACATCACAGCCACAATGTGGTGAACAGACAACAAACTGT